CCCTTTTAGACTTTGATAGTGGTGTTGAGTGCAAGAACATTAATCATTAAATGGCCCATGGATGTCATCAGTGTTTCCATAGAAAGTCATTGTCAGAAAATTCATTCTAATTCAAGGTTAATTAGTGTAATATTAAAATTATGTGTTACAAAAATGAATTACTTGCTGGGTCAAAAAGTGTGTTAAAAAGCTTAATGCCTTGTGTCCGAGATCGCATTGCCTTACTCAAAATCACGCTCTACCTCTGCTGCCCTCCCCAAGAAGAGCCAGCAGAAGCTGCCTGAGCTTCGGTTGCAGGTGTCTTCTTTCCCCTCTTGCTATTTTGGCACCGTGGTTGGGAAATTTGGCTCACAGTTCCCATTAGCAGATAAATGAGTTGCTCACCTTGTTCCCCATCGCTCTGTCAAGAGATTTATAACCAGGTGTGGGCTAATTTAACTGATTTCATCTGTGAAGGTCCGTGACTGTTTTGTGTAGCGTACCGAAAAACACAGGCCAGTCCGATGGTGTCTCATCCTGGGGGATGATTTCTTGGTTATCTACAGGGTGATTTCCAAGGAATCTCCTGCAAGTATGCTACATCCTAAATCAGGAGAGACTGATACTAACAGTAAGGCTAATTTAGTAAGTGTACAGAGTAAACAAAGAACAAAACCCTTTGAGCTCCCTTTCTCTTTGCAGTTGTTGATATATAAAACCTTCTGTAGTTCATAGCGAATGCCTCAGAGCTGCTTGTCAAAAGGCTCTTGCTGTTGTGAGTGCATATTTGCATTGTGAGAAGATAAGCACTCCAGCCTCCCTGCAGGGCTGTTCCCATGTGTGAAGCTGTACCACAGCTCTGCTCTGATGGACTGTTGCAAAACAAGCGTTGCCCTTCACAGGTTTAGTTGTTCTAGACCAGAATCAGAGCAGCACCCATGAACTGAATCCTGAAAGCTTGGCTTCACTTCCCTGCTTCACTTCCCTTTCCGAGGCCATCTGGGTTTTCAGGTGTGTGTGTCAGCCCTCAGAGGGGTCCTCAGCTACTTCCCGTGTCCTTGACAGGCAGGAAGATCTGAATTCCATTGCATCCCCTCCCATGGTGGCAGAGACCTGTTCAGCCTGGAGAAGAGAAGGCTCCGGGGCGATCTTATAGCGGCCTCCCAGTACCTGAAGGGGCTACAAGAAAGCTGGGGAAGGACTTTTCATAAGGGCAGTTAATGACAGAACAAGGGGAAATGGGTTTAAGATGAAAGAGGGGAGGTTTAGATTAGATATTAGGAAGAAGTTCTTCACTGTGAGGGTGGTCAGACACTGGCCCAGGTTGGCCAGAGAAGCTGTGGCTGCTCCTCCCTGGAAGTGTTGAAGGCCAGGCTGGATGAGGCTTTGAGCAACCTGGTCTAGTGGAAGGTGTCCCTGCTGATGGCAGGGGGGGTGGAACTGGATGAGCTTTAAGGTCCCTTCCAACCCAAACCATTCTATGATTCTATGACTTGTAGAAAGGGGATGAGGAAGAAAGGTGTGGAGGTTTGAGAGAGGCTGGAGGGACAGATGCAGCCTGTGTTGCAGAGCTGAGAGGGGGACAGTGCCCAGTTTCAATCCTCTGGTGCAGCAGAGACACAGCTCATGGGATGAGTGTTTCCAACCTGAGAGGAACCAACTTTTAGAGACTTGGCATCCGGGTGACTTAGGCAGCATTGGAAATCTTACCCTTAGTGTGCAAGTCATTGCTCCCAGAAAAGTCAGAGGTGTCAAAATCCCAAATCTTTATAGGAAAACAAATTATGTCATGGCTCCTGCTTTTCATGCTTTGCTGGTTTTCCCCTCTAAATTTTTTGATGGCTTGTGGGTTTGATGCTAAATTAATGAAAAAATGAACTATGGGTCACTTCTAACATTTCTAGCACTATTCTGTAAGTCCAAATCGGGAGCAATAGTGTGTTACATGGTAATATTAGTGTAGGGTTTTTTAAGTTTCTGGTAATTTTTGTTATTGGTACTCAATAGCAAGACTGTGATTCTCTGTGAGGTTTTTTTTTAGCTGGCTTTGTTAATTTTCTCCTGAATGTTTCAGGGCCGGGCTCTGCTTCACTGGGCATGTGACAGAGGACACAAGGAGCTGGTTTCAGTACTGTTGGAACATGCTGCTGACGTTAACAGCCAGGTAAGAAAGGAATAAGTTCAATTTAATTGATGTGTTATATAGCCTCTCAACCAAATTGTTTGCATGAAACAGAATTCTTCCCAAAAAACTCCATAGCAAATACTCTCAGGGCATTTAGTACAGGAAGAACATCCAAAAAGGTAACCTGGGAAAAATAACAGAATTTGGTTGCATGAAATATAGAGTCATAAGGGGCCTTTTCCAGTTCTTGCTGAAACTTCTCCCTGCAGTAAAGTTTTTTGGTCACCTGGCTGTGACTTCCAGTGTGGCTCGTGGTACTGATGGCAAGAGATTTCCTGCTTATGAGGTGTTTGTTAGCTTCCTACGTAAAGTGCGTTCTCTGGTGTGTTTTTTGTAATGCTACTAATTGTTGGTGGACTAATTGTGGACTAATGGAAAGCAAATCCCACTTTGCCCAGGAGAAAAGCATCCAATAAATACCTCTTTTCAGCAGAGCACACCACAGGGGTAGGTGATGCTTCAGGTCACAGCGTGGTGGGTATGTGATAGTTACAGTAGGATCTCAGTGCTGACTGAGGGCAAAGTCAAATAGCTTATACTAATTCCATCCCCACATCCTCACCTCACTCCCTTGGAGGTCACCATTTGTAGCACAGTTTGACTTAACTGAATATAAGGCAGTTTTTTTAGCCACTGCAGTTTGCAGCCCACATGTCTGTGCTTAACTAGCAGCAGTTTTGGGGTTCCTTAACAGACCAGGCAGTGAACTGTGCTGGTTCAGCAACCGCTTTGCAGGTGGTTCATTCCAGCCAGCTTGAGTCTGCCTGTGCTCTTGAGTCAACTCTCCTAGTTGTGTCACTTTGTTGTAATTAAGGGCTGACCCGTGTAAATGTGGTAAGTGTTTGGAAATAATTGTCCAACATATTTCTGTCAAATTATGATTGACTGCTCTTTACTAACGTGACGCTTATTGGCTTTGTTCTCCTGCCCTCTTTGGACATAGATACACCTCTGCTGACAGATTTGCTATCTCTTACCAGTGAGATCTTAAGCAGCCTTGCAATAAATGCTTCAGGAATTTGTAGAGGTGGACCTTCAGCACAGTTGCAGTCTGAAGGCTTGTCAGCAAACCTGTAGTGTTCATAGGCTACAAATAGCTGTGTTGATATTTACGTGTACACAAAATTGTTGTAAAAAAGTCTTTCTTGGCCTTGCCTGGGCAGAATTGCAGGTGGGATGGATGGGTATTTAATACTGTAAAGAACAGTATTAGGAAGTATGGCTCTGCCAGTAGCTGATGAGGCATTTATCTTCATGCTTTTAGATCTCGGGGATTTCAGTTGTAATGGATTTTAAAGGAGTTTTTCCTTACACAGAAGAGGGGCAGTGGAGCCAGTACAAATGGGGGGCTTTGTGTGCCCCACTGTCAGACTAGACCCTCTCCTTTCAGTCAGAGTTGGTGAGTGAAGTGTCAGATACATACGGGAACAGCTTTGCCTGGAAATCGAGGAGTCGTCAGATCGAACACCTGCCCATCCCCTGTACCCTGGCAGCCCAGGAGATGGTTCTGTTGGGGACACTGTACCGCTGCAGCAGTCTGAAAAGTCACTTCTCTTTGATGCTTGTCTCATTTCTTTGGAGGTAAAGTCTGACTCTTAGTAGAAAAGGCTGAAGGGAGAGTCATCTTATTTTTTTTCCCTGAACGTTAATTTTCTGTTAAACTCTTCTTCTCTTTTTTTTTCTTTTTGATGTATTGCACATTTTCTAACCAGATTATTTTTGGCCGGTAACAAAAGGTTAATAATAGCCATAAAAAGAAAATCAATCTTTGAATTTTTTTTTTTTCCCCACCAAGGTAATAAAGTAGAATTTTTTATAAAGGTCTCTGTTTGCACGTAGGTGTGTTCCCAGAGAAGGCAGACACATTTTTATTCTCAGCCATATATAAACTGCAATATCATTTCAAGACTTTGTGACCTAATGTTTATTTCTCTCTTTTTTTTTTTTTTTTTTTTATTTTGACCTTTACCCTGTAAGAATTCACATCTAAAGCAAAAAGCACAAGGAATTTTAAGAGCAACCAGAAGAAAAAAAAGAGAGGGAAAGACTCTGCCTTCCTAACAGGCCATAAACACCACAGTGCCTGCTGTTATACATTAGCAAATGCACTCTCAGTTAATGCACAGGCTGTAAAGAACAGTGGGTTCAGTGTAAGGGAGTCTCTGGTGACTTGAATCAGCAGTGCTGTTATTTCACAGCCATGTGCTCTTGGTAGAGGTTCCTCTCTGCGCGCAGCACCTCTGCCAGAGCCTGGCATGCAAACAGTCCCTGCGATTTCCACCTGCCACTCAGGTCATCAGATGTTTTTCTGTCTTGGTCAATTTTGCAGCAGTACCTGCATGCAGGCAGCATAAGAGATAAAGAATAAATTAGAGATTATGAGGGTTATGAGCAGGTAGCGAAGGAGCCAAATGTTATAGACCAATTTATTTTTTTTTTAAATTGCCTGTGTTTTAGTATGCTTCTTAAAAAGTTACTCAAACAGCTCGACAGATTTATGCTCTCTTCCATTACTTTTTAAATAAATGCTCTTCCATCTTGGCTCTCTTGGAGTGTGCTAAAGGATTTAGCTGCCCTAAGCAGATGGTGACAGTGGTGCTCTACTAGGTGGCCTGGAACAAGTCGTACTAGTTCACCGTGCCTGTAGATGTGCCTTAGTCCCTTTTTGCTGCCTTATTGTAGTTATCTTTTTACTACCTATTGTCAAAGTACTTGCAGTCTCAGGATCAAGGGGCTCTGCAAGAGTCAATTTATTGCTCTTTGCTGATAAACAGACTTGGGAGCAGGAGGAGAGGTCACTTGGCTCCAGTCATTCCTGTAGCATGCTCAAAACCACTTGAATTTTGGGAATAACCACACACCTCTGGTCTGCACTAGTCCAGTGCCTGTGCTTTTAGTTTTAAACAGTGGTACTGCAGATGCAAAAGGGTGGTTCCCTAATGTCACTGAAAAGCTGCAGCCATTGAGTTCTCTGATTGTTCATAATTAGCTCTAATAGCACATTTGAAAAGCAGTGGTAAGCTATGGGCAAGGGGATACAGAAAGGCAACAGGCTTCTCGACTTTGTTGAATAGGGACATTTGTGTAATTGAATTAGCTAAATCTTCAGAGCCAGAGGCCATTTCAAAGTGGGTGGTGGTTTGGTATTCTGGAGCTCTGGAAATACCTAGCACTTGGGTTTTAGTCTGAAAACCGCCTCCTTCCACTGGAACTGTTTGCCTAAAACGTAGGTTTTTAATTGAGTGATGAAGTGAAAGGAAGGAGAGAGTATATTCATAACATAACAGTTATGAAGGAGCTCGGCAACAGGATTAGAATATCTGTTTCTAGCTTTAAAATATATGAAGACATGAATAAGTTTTCCTTGCAGAGGATGTACTGCTTCAGTGCTACTCAGTGGAAGAGTGCTCTTGGGGCAGGATCTGAGTCTGGTCACCTCCTCCTACCTCATCCTACACAGGGAGCGTTGCAGGTATACAAATTACTAGTGTTGTTCTAAGAAAGATGAAGGGCATTGTGCTGTAGTGATTATCCAATGAGGGAGAGAAGGACAAACAGCATCTCTCACTTGTAACATCAAAACAGTAGACCATAGACTCTCCTCCTGGACTTGCTGTGGCTGCACTTTGTTCCATTTGTGGGTACTTTTTACTCCAAAATAATAATCGGTGCGCTTAGGGCGTTCCCTTGGGAATGCGTGGGGAACTATCCCAGAGTGGCTGCAACAGATCAGCTTATTCTGAAAAAACTTTCCAAGCCTATCTGGCCATGTGAACAAATCTTAAAATAAATATTGTTAGTGGTAAGTGGAACTGTATCACTTGATGTCCAGGATACTTAAGGGCTATGTACATATCTATATGGTAGAGCAGCTGAGTTAAAATTGTCTCCAGGTATTTTTATGATTTTTAAACTACATCATTGTGCAGTTCTATTAATCAGACTATCAATTTTTAGGGCAATCATTTGTATGTGCTAAAATTGTACCATAATTATGACTACAAGGATGAAAAAAGCTCTACCTGATCTTCAGTTTTTATTTGCTGACCTTTCACTTTCCTAGTAAAGGTGCAGAACACTGTACTGTGACTTTAAACCGCTTGGCAGCAGGTTCTCAGTGGTCACCCATGGATCCTCAGGGGTTTGAGAGGGAAACTTGAGAACCAAAGCTGAAAATCATTGTTAGGAAATCTGTTGCTAGTGTGTGTGGATTTTATTTTATTTTATTCATTCATATACACCAGTAATTTCAGTGATGAGCATCTAGTGTCTATGCTGTCTGCAGAGAGAGTTGGCTGCTCTTTGGTGCCAGTGTTGTATCTGTGTCTTGTACCAATTCTCACAAGGCTGCACAGCTGTCTCAAGTCAGACTTGTTAGCGTGTGATTTTGAATTAGCTGGATTTTATTTTTCCATTTGTGTGAGGTTTTTTTCTAAAAGATACATAGCATAGCAAGAAGAGTGTGGTTGCCTCCATTTTTCCCAGTCCCCTGCCACGTACCTCTAGCAGACAGCTGCTTCCCTCCTCTCTGTTTGCATGCTGACACACTTGTGAGTCAGAGGGCTTCTGGAGACAGGGAGGTGGAATAGCCATCCTCTTGTAAAACCTTCACTCACGTCCTCATTGGGGAAAAAAAAAAAATCTTTTCAAATGGAGACAATACAAACATAATAAATGGCAGGGAGTGCTCCTCTCCCTCATGACTCAATCCTTCTCAAACAACATTATTATTGACTGGTCTATTGGTTGCCAAAAAGGAAAATCAATTGTACTAGAAGTAGTTGCTGGACCACAGATCATGGTAGTAACCCAGCAGAGACAGGTTGATTTTTATCAACTATCCAAAGACTAATTTCCACCATTAGCTAAAAATGAAGTAGAAATTATGGATATGTCGAAGATTGCTAAGATTGGTGATGTGTTCGTTTTGTTTTATTCATATGGTTTTTCTGTTTTCCTGCCTGACTCTGAAAGGATTG